TGGCACATGGGGACAGCCTGCTCCTGCGCCTTTAAGATTTCCTTCTTGAAGAATGTCCAGCCTTCCTGGACTCCTTTGCCCTTCAGGACTGTCTCCCAAGGGACTCTGTCAACCAGGCTCCTAAACAGGCCAAAATCTACCCTCTGGAAGTCCAAGGTAGCAGTTCTGTTGATCCCCCCTCCTTACTTCTCTGAGAATCAAAAACTCTTTATCATTTTGTGATCGCTATGCCCAAGACGGCCTCCAACCATCACATCACCCACAAGTCCTTCTCTGTTCGCAAACAACAGGTCCAGCAGGGTGCCTTCCCTAGTTGGCTCACTCACTACATATCGCTACATACTCAAGTCCAGCTTGCTAAATAGAAACTTCAGCATTTCTTTTGAAGAATCCTGCACCTCAAAGGGTTTTTGATTCCTGAAATTCAGCAGGGATCAGGCCCACAAGGTCACTTATATGCCTTTCATTCATTTCCCTGAGATGTGTGTGTGTGCTGGGGAGAGAAGGGGACTTAAAAAATTTATTTTGCCGATACACAGTTGATTATGTTAGACAATAACAGTAATGTCACAGGCTTGCATAAAGCCAATGAACCCAAATTAATTTTTAAGTGAAGGCTACAAGTATCAAGCTGAACCCCACCTTGCTGCTAGTCCAGCCCTTGGAGAGCTGCCCCAGGTGCTCTGCTCTGGAGAACGAGAGACGTACTCCTCCCCATCATCATCAGCTCAGTGTAGAGGGATGGGTATGTGCAGCCAAGACTGGACCTGCTTCTCCTGACAACCTGGACAAGGAGCCGCTCTTTCACCCCGCAGAGCCTCTGACTCACCCCACACGCACTGTGGATTATGCTCGGTGCAGGAAGCCATTGCTCACTATTTTGTTTACCTTTGATGTTTTGTTTGTTTTGCATCAGTGGAGCACTACTCTGAACAATGTTTTGATTTTCTTCCCCCCCCCCCCCCCCCACACCCAGCAGCATGGCACCTGAAGGTTGCTTCGCAAGCCTTCATGATTTAAGCCTCCCAACCAGCTTGGGGGGTCAGCGTCACCTCCCTGTTACAGACGGGAAGCAGACAGGCACAGGCAGTAAGCAAGTAACCCAAAGTCATGCAGCTTTCTGCCATTTGTGAGGTGATGGTAACTTAGCTTCTTCCAACAGATCCCTGCCTCTTTCACACTACGTCTGCTACAGCTTGCGCAGAGAATGAAGCACAATGAAGCCTACACTAAAGGCCACTTTCAACATGCAACCCAACTAGTCTTGTTATGACAAGAACAAGGAGTACCCCGCTCCCCAGATCCACCAAGTTCAACCTACAACTGAGCATGTTTTAAATGTGCAACATAGACTTTTAAATCAAAGACTCCAAATAACCTTTAATTTTAATGGAAGCTGGGTACACAGAGATCTCAGTAAGGAAATCAACTTCAGCTCCTTCTGTTTTATCTGTGTGAATGAATTAATTTATCACTCTAACCCTTGGATGTTCAAAGACTGGGTTTAATGCTGGACTCCTAAATCTATCCTGCGTAATGCAATTAAACTGTCCAGTCCCGCATGCTGCACACCCACACTTCTCATAACAGCTGAACTGGGACTATTACATTATTTTTGATGTCTCAGAAAGCTTTTAGAACTTTTAAACAGATGAGGTGGTGCTAACCCATTTTCACAGAATCATAGAATCATAGAATCATTAAGGTTGGAAGAGACCTCTAGGATCATCGAGTCCAACCGTCAACCCACCACCACCATGCCCACTAAACCATGGCCCTAAGCGCCTCATCTACACGTCTTTGAAATACGTCCAGGGATGGTGACTCCCCCACTTCCAGGGGCAGCCTGTTCCACTGTTTAACGCATCTTTAGCTAAA